GAGAGAACAAGTTGACTGTCTTCTTGGCAATCATGTGCTTAAACACTGGCCCCAGTTTACTTTGCTTTATCTGTGTTCTAATTTCTTTTGACAACAACAAAACTATAAGTACACCTTAGACAAAAGCCAAAGAGGAGAAACGTTCAGAAAATCAATAATTAATCACATTTGTAGATGCCTTAACTAATACCACTAAACCTTTTTAATGCATTAACCTTAAAAAATGGTACTAATTCCATTGCTTCTCAAATACAGTGTTAAACTTCAAAAACAAGTTTGTTAACCATTAATCCTGATGATAAGAAACAACACAATTCTCTCTGTGTCTATTCAGAAGTAAGCCTCTGAAGGCTTAATGCAATCCTATACCCTCTAATTTCAGAATAAAGCTTCACTAGACTCAGTGGGATTTACTTTTAGTAAACATGCACATGGCTGTGCTGTAAGACTCGTGTTTGTGCTTTTTCCTGAAAATGTCTAACTGAAGTTAATGAGATTAATTTCTGAGTGAATATCAAGACTGCATGCAAAGTGTAGTTTCTTGTTCTAAATAAATTAATACTTTAGATATTTGACTGAGTTGATCAGTTTATCCATTTTTAACCCATCAACTGCTCAGTCTTATCACAGTAATATTGTTTTACAATCTGAATAGATTCAGAATATGATTCTAAACACTATCATGTGACTATGTTATATTTGCCTCAAATAGTTGGGTTGGGTTGTTTAAAAAAAATGCAGTATTGAAACTTTGGACATATATAATCTTTAAAATCGGAGCTTCTAATTAGGATAAATCCTACTGGGTTTTAAAAATGGCTTAGAGCGGCTTTCCCAATTTAGCATCCTGCCGATAAGTTTAGATTCTGACTCCCAAAATTCCCAAAACAGCACATTTTAGACTACAGCTCCCACCATCACCAACCAACATATATGCAGATCACCAGGTGGGTGAAGGTTTCCTTATAGTTACAACAGAAAAAATCAGAAGGATAAAAGAGAAACTGCACATGGCTGTGACAGTCAGAGGATTTTTTTTTTTTTTTTAACAAAATAATTGTAACTTTTCCCCATTCTCTGCTTTTTCTTTTTAATTTCATATAATTCTATTCCTATCTTAGGAAGAAAGATTTCAGGCATTCATTCTAATATTTGTTCTCTGTTTCTACATGGAGGAAAGGATCTACTAATTATGGTCTTGGCTGTTACAGGATTTCAGATGGATGACTGGGAAAGAAACAAGATTTAAAAAAAAACAACACCAAGATCAAGATCAAAGACTGGGGTACTGAGAAGCAAGAGGGAGCTACCATCTACCTCATTAGAATCCCAATATTTGGGTGGCTTTGGTGGCCTCCAGATGGCTGGGCTTCAACACCAAAAATCTTCAAACCTGCATTTGCATTGCTGAGAATGAGACTTGAAGTTCACTTATCAGGAGGGCACTGGTTGTTGTACAGAGATAGAAAATGGAAAGGGAGGGAATAGAGCAGGATCAGGCAACCTGGTATCCTTCAGATACTTTTAGTTACTTATCCACAATGCCTTCCCATTGCCCACTAACGAGAATCCAAAACATCTAGAGAACAACAAAAAGGCAATATTCTAGAAGACAAACTGGCTGAACATCTGGACACTAAACACAAACTCCATGCTCCAACATATATATGCTAAAAATCCCAACAGATTCCCATGTTATATCAATAATGTATTGTATATATTACTAACCAACTCAGACAAGTTGAGAAACCATCCATTTCGAAGCACAGAAGGGACATGTAAGAATAGGACAGAAGTTCCTCTATAGAGTATTCCAGAGAACTCCAGTGGGTGAAAGTAAAAACAAAAACAAATAGCACAGAAAAGCAAAAAAATTGATATATATTCAGTAGTTTCTGAGAGGCACAAGGTGTTGCTTCCAGCTGGAAAAGTGGGAAATCTGAAGAGAGTGAATTTGCTTGCTTATGACCTTCACAACCTAAAGCAAAAGTAGGAAACTTCTGGTCCAAGAAATCTCCACATCCACTCTGCAGAAGTCATGTGCCTTTTCCCAAATCCAATCTTATCCATATGTGCAGAGAAAGGTAAGAGTGTTCTTTTTCTAGTTCCTTATGCACAGAAAAAGGGAGAGCTGAGGTTGGGATTACCTTAAACTTTAAGATGTGTGGACTTCAGTTGAAGTCCACACATCTTAAAGTTGCTGAAATTGAGAAGCACCAGATACCTTAATGAGCAGCGCTTTGGAGAAAAAGGTGCTAGGTCTTCCTCACCTATGAAGTCCCACCCACTGGTCATCTAACCCTCTAAGAATGTAAAGAGGTGGTCTAGGTTTTGGGTTCCCTTTTTCTGTCCTGAGAAATGGTGATGGAATAGATGGCTTGCTGACATTCTAAACAAAACACTCTGCTGAGGATCCAGGTTGCACTGTGATATTTTATTGCCTTGTTAGTTTCTAGCCATTTACCAAAAATATCAGAATGAAAAACTAGGGCATGGCTATGTAAATAAAGCAATGCAGCATAAGCTGCCTGTAAATGGAACACCGCTGTCCCACTGCTTTGGGCATTTAATATTGCATGGTATTCAATCCAGAGATCCTCTTGGGGGAGAGATAAGCTATCAACAGTTTCAAAGCAATCCAGCAAACAAGTCAGAGCAGTTTTATATGGGAGACAAAAGTTCTCTTTCTAAAAGTGTTTCCTTTTTCTCTCCAATGATGCACAACTTACAAAGAGCAAAAGCTAAGCATATAGAAACTCAGGCATGCTATCTTATTTAAACAAATATACCAGCAAAAATTTCATCATCTTATACGAACACACAAAACTGCTTTCTACTTAAAAGCTATCCTAGTTTTCAGCCCTTCCCCAGTCCAGTGTCCTCCAGATGTATCCTCCTAGAGCATGGGGAATTCTGGGAGTTGAAGTCCACACATCTTAAAGTTCCCAAGGTTGAGAAACACTGTCCTAGAGTTTCTCAATTAACATCACAAGCTGCTTTGGAAACTCTATTGCAGCTATGTTCTTCTTCCCCTCTGGTACTGGATTATGAAAAGATACACAAAACTACCAAACAAAACCCTGACATCTGCCCTCTTATATAGGAAAAAAAAAATTAAAACCCATTATTTTCCCCACTAAAAGTTTTTTAAGCTTTTCTCCCCCTTCTCCCCAGCTTGGCAGCTTTGAAGCTTATTTTTCAAAAAGAAATCACTAACATTGTGCTAAGAGACGTGTGGTTCTGATGAAATCTCCAAAAGCAGTTTGGAATATGCTTTGGATTCTGTCATTGTTGTTTAACACCATTTTTCCTAAACCTTGTTTTAACTACCTTCATGACCACCACAATACAGAAATATTAAGAACATAATGAAGTAAAGAATTATCTCTAACAAAAAGAAATAGCTAAATACTTTCATGATGTGAAGCAAATCTATGTAAGCTTTAAGGAATCTCAAAAAATATGTTTTAATGGGGATTGTACAAAAACATTTTCATAAATAGAGAATGAGCACAGTATGTAGGTCATACGAATGTTGTAATACTTGTTAGACCTCCAGAAAACTGCAAGCCTACTTTTAGAAGTTGAAAGGGACTGCCAATGTTTTTTCCAAAATTACCCATCCACGAACACGAATTTTTCTTTGAAACTGGTTGGATTTTTTAAAAAGGCGATTGTAAAACCAAACAGGAGGAAAGGAGTCTTCAGCTAAAGGGGGTGAGAATCCCCCGAGATAACGGAGCCAATTCATTTCTAAGCAATTTTTGATTTGCAATTAATTTTGAACTGCAAATTAAAAATGTTCATAATGGTACAATTGAGTAAAATGGAAATAGAAAATAAAGCCATATCATCTGTCACAAAGAGCAGGGATCTGCAATGTATCCACAAAGTTGGCACACACGGCCTGTGAATTCACCAGACCAGAGGCAAAATGACTCCAAAGAAAAGGGGCAAGGCCCCCATCCAACAAAACCTGATGCTTTGGATCACTTTGGGCACACCTGCCAAAGACAGCTGCCCTCAGGTAAGATACAAAGGGACCACTTGCAACTCATTCCTAGCAGTTTCCGTAGAGGGACCACTTGCAACATTTCTAGCAATCAAGCAGAACAAATAAACCTCATATGTGTGTGGGGGGGAAGGTTCTTCCACCTTCAGCTACGTGGCACACATGATTCATCAGCTGACATCCCCTTTGCAGGCTACAACATGGGAAAGTGCACTACAGCATCTTCTCTTGAAGCCCTTCCACGAGGCCAGTCTCCCGCTATAAACAAAGTAACTCTGGAAGGGAGGAAAAATTAAGTGAGGCTGCAACAGAAAAGCAGGTTCTGTCCAATCCATTCACTGTTGCTCAGAATTAATGTCGTCATCCCATTATCCTCTCCTTATCTGTAAACTCAGGCAAATTTCCTCCTGAACACGTAGGCATAAGAATAACAACTGTAAGCTGGATCCTGGGCATGTCTACTCAGAAGTAAGCCCTGCTTTGACTCAGGGATGCCTGAGCCCCTCTAGACACTGGAGCAGAGCGGGTATGTACGAAGTCGAGTCTGGCAGCTTTCTTTTCCCCTATCACAAAGTCTGGCAATTTGCAAAGCAGAGTTCCTGGACGCGGGAGGATAACACGCTCGAGCCTGTCCGAGAAACTCCCCTGGCCCTGCGCTCGGCCCGCGCTGGCCACTGGCAAAGGGCTAGCGACAGGAAGACTCCGAAGGGCAGACCGAGCAAGCGGCATTTGAGAGGAGGCAGGCAGGGCCCGAAAGAGACAGGAACAGGAAAGGGTGGAGGAAGAAAGTGGGGACTGAAGCAACGAGGCGCGATGGGACGATGAGTAAATGAGGCTTTGAGAAGTGAAAGGCGAGGACGGCTGGGTGAAACTGCGGGGCGAAACGAAACCCGGGGTGGGGAGAAGCGGGACCACGGGCGAAGCGGGGCGCGCGCACGGCCAGGCTCTTTGGAGAGAGCGAGGGAGCCCGGCGGAGCTCCGCACTTACTCAGCAAAGGGGAAGGGTCGGGGCAGTCTGCACCGGGCTTTGAGATATTGCCCGGGAGGAGCGCCTCCGACTCCCGGCGGGCGAAGGTTTGGCTGCGAGGCGGTGGCTCCGGGCTCCGGTGGTTGTTGAGCGTGTTGCCTCTCAGGTAATAGAGGACCACAGCCGAGAGGTGGAGGACACAGAAGACCACAAGGAGGCGGCAAGCTTTCTGCAGCGAGGCGCCGGGCAGCTCCATCCTGCGCGAACTTTATTGCGCCGATTTGGACAGGCGGGGATGCCTCATGGCTGTGCCCTCGAGCAGGAGGCCGGGGAGACAGCAGACCCGCTAACAGCGCTCAGCCGCTCGCCTGCCAGCTGCGGACTACCCGCCGGGGAGGAGGAAAGTCGTAATGTCAGGCTGAGGCTCCTCCTCCTCCTCCTCCTCCCCCAGCTGCTACTGTTGGGCCCCTCCTCCCGGGGTGAAGGTCGCGCCAACGGGAGTCCCGCTCATCCCCGGGGTGCGTCGTCGACGTTCGTGGAACCAGCGCTTTGGCTTTGAGCGGAAGGAGCTTAGCAACGCCCCGGCCCCAGCCTTGCCTTCCACGAGTTCGGGTGATTTAGCGCGCGCACAAATCCTCGGCTGCTTACCCAGGCGTCCGCCGGTTTGCTAGCTGCCTGTAGCATCAACTGGTGGTTTGCGGAGTGAAAGAGAGTTGGTCCATTAGGCAAAATGAACAGGGTGGACCAAAGCTTGATGTTCAATCAGAACAATAAGCCAAAGCGTGCTTCACGGGGTTTACTGAATAAATCACAATGTTAGCTAGACGTAGGTAATCTATTTTTACAACTACGCAGGCTGGCTTAACATACTAGGCTACAGCCCAGCAAACCACATTCTGACTTTGTGGATAGTGTGAACTGTGGGAGAAGCCCCAGTGATTTACTTCTGAGTAATAAAGGCAGAAGCTCACTGGGAGACAGAACACTTAGTTTCACAGCTGTGTTGGGGAGGTCATATTTTAAACCTTATCCCGGTGGAAAACCTCTTCATGTAGCAAACTCACACTTGAGGGAAAGGTTTGTGCTCACCCCTCCCTAGTACATTAATTTTCTGCAAGCACTGAGCTTTTCAAATTCAGAAGTGGCACTTTTCAACATTGTTTCTGTATTGTGTGTGTCCTTCTGCACCACTCACTAAATGCAGGCCTGCCACATTTGAAGGAACAAACTTGTAGAACATGAATGATCTTGTCTTCCGCTCATCTCTTTCCCATCATGAATGTAGCTTGTTGTTCTCCTTCTAAGGAGGAGGAGGTGGGGGGTTGTTTGTTTGCTTTCAGTTTTGCTGCGCAAGCCATGCTGTTTGATCCATCTGCAAAACTTCAATGTAAAGTAAATGCCTTGGCTCTTATTAGCTGCCCTTTCACTATTGGTAATGCCCTCTGGCCATTGGTCTTGGGCTATCAAAATGTCTCTGTCCCTTCAGAGGAGCCTTTCCACATGAAGCCTGAACTGGGCTTTGCTTTGCAAGCTGTGTCTCAGGCATTACATGGGTTCTTTCTATATCAAGGAACATTGGTACCCCAAAAACCCAAGCCACCCGTATGCTACTGCTAAATCAGATATGCATAGATCCTTCAGTGGAGGGATGGTTTATTCAAACAGTGCTTGTGGTATTCTGCAATCTCATGTTGGAAATTATTAAAATTAACCCATGCAGTGATTGAACTATCTACGCCAGTGCACTGAGTTGGAACCAGTGCACTGGTGTAGATTTTCCAGGTTCTAGATATTTAAATACCATTATGAACTTTGAATACATGGGTACAGACTTCTCAACTTCAGGGACTGTGGGACAACCATAAATCACCTGTAAAGGTGCATCTATAGCAAAGTGTATCAATTGCTTAGTAGTTATCCATTTGCATTTGGTCCACATTAATTCAGCACCCTTTCTTTTTTGACTCTGTCTCTTCTTATACCGTAATGCTTCAGAAGTACCTCATTTCCACTGTATTCAATGTTTATGTTTTTCCTCACATACGCAACTCTTACTTCCATGTAACAAAGTGGGAAAAAGTATGCTATTCTGTTCAGCCCATTCCTTTTCTTTTGACAAACATTCATTACTTAGAACAGACCACATGTTATGCACTGTCTTCCCACCAGCATTTGTACATTTTAAAATCTCTCCCTCTGTTTCTCCTTCTTTGGCAAACATTCTACCAAGGTACACAAATTCATCTGCTTGCTTTGGATTTTTGTCATTTATATATGTATGCCTTTCAGCCATTTGTTTCATTTTCCATGATAATCAGAAACAACTTCTTCTCTAATAAATTCGTTTTCAGATCCATACTCCCTGTTGCATCATAGAATAATTTGCTACAAATCCAAACACAAATCAAAACACACCCTTTGCTTTAAAAAATTGCACATACATTCACTTCCCCACCCAACTAACTTCTATCACCACAAACCTTCCTTATACATTTATCCATTAATCCATTAAACAACCAAGGGGAGATCACACATCCTTGTCCTATTTTCTGTTCAGTGTTGAACTATTCACATTTATTCTTGCATCTGCTTAATTCCATCATATACTGCTCTAACCACATTCAGCCACCAAACATCAAATCCGTATTTGCACAAGACATTCCATCATTCAAGCCAATTACTTTATCAGTTGCTCACTCTAAATCAACCAATGGGCAATAGCCTTTCTCACATTTGTGCACTTTTCAGTGACTTGTTGCAGAACAAAAATCTGGCCTACATCCCCCGTCCCTGCCTAGCATAAAATCTGCACCACGTTTCCAAAAATTCACTCACCGTCACCTCTCATACTTTTTCAGTCAGAATTTTGCCAAAGATCTTCTGACGTAATAAACAAATTCCCCTGTAGTTTGCTACCTTCAGTTTTGATTAGGGGATAGATGACTGCATGTTTCTAATTGTCAGGCATCGATGCAGCCTTCACTTTTCACACACATGTTAAACAAGTCCCACAGCCACTCCATAAGTAAACTGCATCCACATTTTAACGTATCCCCATCACACCATTTCCACCTGCCCTCTTGCCATTTTTCAGCCTTCTCACAGCATTTATGACTTCCATTTACGTATCTTTTTTGCTTTGGACACTAAGATCTACAGCACTCGTTTCGGTTTTACTCGTTGATGTATCAGTATAATTTCCATGAAAATCTCTCCAGCATTTGTCACTTAAACTTCATCCCATTTTTATTTTTAATTCCAGCCACACTTCTGGATGCTTCTTGTTTAGTCTTCTTCTCACACTTCCAAACTTATTTTTTATTTCCATCAAAATCACTCTGTCTCTTCCCTACCTCTTTAAAGTTAACCATTATTTGCTTCCATAGAATATAGTCTTTGCAAATATATTCTTATATGTTATCTTTCTCTGAAGCTCATTTTTCACAGCATTCCTTCTCTTATATGTGCTTTTCCACTAGAATGGCTGGATTCACACAATGTACTAAGCCAAAAAAGACAACACATTAATATGATATGTATATCAGGCAAGTGTCTCTGGGCACATCAGACTAGCATGGTCTTATAAAATTTCAACACTTCATTCATAGCAACTTGCACATGAATGCTGCAGAAATGCATACGGTCCTAGCTTCTGGTGTGAGTCATGGCTGACTTTAGATGTCTCTGCAAAGAAGCAGAGATGATGACCGATATGAAGAATGAGGGACCGGTGAGTAGACCAGTCCTCGAATTTCTCTAGAGAAGGAGAAAACAGGAGATTGCCCATGAGTGCTCTGAATGGCAGCTTCTCACAAGGAGACTGTAAGTCTCCTGCAGGTTTGAGTGCCAGGAGCCAAGGGAGACAACATCTTTGCTCTCAGCAGCAGCAGAACCTTTCATAAGGACACTAAGCCAGCCAAACTCACTTTCTAATCACATTGAGAAATGTTCAGTTTAACTATTTTAAGGATACTAGAGACCTTCAAAATGGTGAGCTTAATTTGACAGGTGAGTTTTACCTTCTTCAGATTTAAGACATTTTAAACAGAGACTCAAAAATGTAAAATAATATACAATTGGCAAAAAGC